AAGTTTCTTAAAGTTATTTATACTTAGCAAAATCGAGCACTAAATGCTTGATCAAGAGGAAAGTTTCGGTGAGAATTGAATAAACGTTGAATGCGGTAAGAAATTCCGGAAGTTTGAAGAGGAAACATCGGAGAGGGAAACGCGCGCGCTCACTGACTGAGAGACTACATCGAAAAGTGAGTCAGGAAATTAAATTGTCGGCATCAATCATGTCACCTCTGCTTTACGTAATCCAATTGACAGGTGGGGAATTCCTTCCTTGGAATGGGAATCTCTTCGCGCAGTTAATTGCTGTCTTCCTCCTTTAGCTTCGATCCTGCTTGGTGGAAGATCTGCAGGATGAGGATGAGAAGGAGGAGGAAGGAATCCATGAATCCTGCAAACACAACGACCCGAATATTCCGCCCATACCGTGTTCCTATAAACCCCCCCCCCCAATTCCACACCCTCAGCGACATTATCTTCAAGCCGCACAATAAATATGTATACGCCATATCTCCATCTCCGCACTATATAGTGTACATAAACCGTACACTATATACTCGGAAATTTGTTTTATATCGTGCGGCCATTAATCGCACGACCAATTTTTAGAAGCTCCAAAGATAATGTCCCCGAAGTTTAACGTGCAATTTGGGTAGACGATAAAAGATCTTCGGCAATAAGAGAGATGAGAGAAAAAAAAAATTGTAATTCGAAGAGTGTGCTATTTTTTACCCTTCGCCCTTCAATTTTTTTTTACCCGCCCTCTCTCATCCTCCCTACATCAAACACTCACTTGAATATGTAATAAATATGGGATTTATTGCTGCTTAAAATCACCCTCCACCAAAACGTTAAATGAAGCAATCGCGCTAACGCTTTTCGAACGCACGTCAAAAGCAAATTTAATATCGACATAGAAATATTTGAAAAATATTACCATTTTTTTTTATATATATTTGAAATTTTACTTATTATTTAATGTCAAGAATAAAATTTCTTGCCTTAAAATGAAAGTTTTGAATATTTGATAACTTTTTTCTAAAAATTAGTCAAATTATAATATAAGATTATTAATTTAATTTTTTTATATTTTGGTGCAACAATTTACCTATTATTCAATGAAATTATTGGACTTGGCAACTTATGTAAAGGAAATTATCGACATTGTTACCATGATTTTGAAAAATATAACCATTTTTTTTTTGATATATTTTAAATTTTACTTATTATGCAATTTCAAAAAATAAAATTTCTTGCCTTAACATTCTTATTGTTATGAAAGTTTTTAATATTTGATAACTTTTTTTTCAATCTTAGTAGAAATAACCAAATCGTTTTTCACCTATTACCAAATTTACAATTTGCTCAATTTTTATTGATTTCTTTTGATTCTTTACTAATTGTAAATAATGAAAAATTCTTATAAATTCACTGAAACTTTGTTGATGTTTATCAAACGTTAAATCAAAATAGTAACGCTTCTTTATGACAATTTGATAATATTATATTAATTTTTATAAATTTCATTGATTTTTTTTAAAACATTGCAATTTGTGTATAATTCATGTAAATCTATTCAAATTCTATTAATTGTAAAGTCATATTAAGTTATCTAAACTACTTGAGAATTCGCTCAATTTTTACTTATTATGCAATTTCAAGAAATAAAATTTCTTGCCTTAGCATTCTTATTGTTATGAAAGTTTTTAATATTTGATAAATTTTTTTCAATCTTGGTAGAAAGATAAAAATAAAAGGGAAATTTATAAATAACCAAATCTTTTTTCACCTATTACCAAATTTACACACAAATGATGATAGTTTTCTAAAAATTAGTCAAATTATAATATAAGATTATAAATTTTATTTTTTTATATTATGGTGCAACAATCACTTATTATTCAATGAAATTATTGGACTTGGTAACTTATGTAAAGGAAATTATCGACATTATTACAATGATTTTGAAAAATATAACCATTTTTATTTTTTGATATACTTGAAATTTTACTTATTATGTAATTTCAAGAAATAAAATTTCTTGCCTTACCATTCTTATTGTTATGAAAGTTTTTAATATTTGATAACTTTTTTCAAATAGTTTTAGCAAAATTACACACAAATGAACTGTACTTTCTGATAGTTTTCTAGAAATTAGTCAAATTAAAATATAAGATTATAAATTTTTATTTTTTTATATTTTGGTGCAACAATCACTTATTGTTCAATGAAATTATTGGACTTGGTAACTTATGTAAAGGAAATTATCGACATTATTTTGAAAAATATAACCATTTTTTTTTCGATATATTTGAAATTTTACTTATTATGTAATTTCAAGAAATAAAATTTCTTGCCTTAACATTCTTATTGTTATGAAAGTTTTTAATATTTGATAACTTTTTTTCAATCTTGGTAGAAAGGTAAAAATAAAAGGGTAATTTATAAATAACCAAATCGTTTTTCACCTATTACCAAATTTACACACAAACGATGATAGTTTTCTAAAAATTAGTCAAATTATAATATAAGATTATAAATTTAATTATTTTATATTTTGGTGCAATAATCACTTATTATTCAATGAAATTATTGGACAAAAAAAAGTCAATAATATTGTGACAATTGTAAATTGATATTGGTTGTAATTGATATTAATTGCGGCGTTCAAAACTTAATTCCTGTCCTTCCACAGCCCCCCTTTCAAGCTTTCATCCATAGCCTACTCTGTGTGTGTGTGGAATGGGGAATGGCAAGTTGTTGGTAGGTTCGTGGCGGATCATTAATAATAATGTAGCGCGCGACGGCTTAGGTCGCCAATGCCGAAGTAATCATTTAATGCCTGCCAAGGTACGAACAAAGGGCCGCATCGTAAACAGCTGCTGACCTCACTAATAATGCATCAAAACTAGGCGCGATCCTGTTGTATTTAGTCGCTTTCAACGCACACACACACACAGAGAGGGAGAGAACTTCATCATCGTCATCGCCATAATCATAGTCATCGCCATCAAAGGGCGCTACACTTCTCATCCTCGTTTCTCTCGCACATTCGGTGATAGAGTCACAAATTCGTGGTTTTGTCAGCGACCGTATTTTATGGACACTTACTTGTATTGCCAGATATAAAACCGTGGAGCCACTTCCAAATGACTCTATAAATATGTGACGGAGGCGGCTGCGGCGACGCCCTTCCAACTTTTCATCGCCCCCTTCGATAAAGTCGATATACGTCAACTTTGATTTGCAATCCGCAAACATTTATTTTGCAACAAGAAGAAACGAAGAAACTGTGGGAACGATAGTAAATCAAAAAACTTGTTCTTTTCGCTCAATTTTTATTGATTCTTTACTAATTGTAAGTAATGAAATTTTTTTATAAATTCACTGAAATTTAATCAAAATGGTAACGCTTCTTTTATGACAATTGGACAATATAAATTTCATTGATTTTTTTTGTATACTGTTTAAAAACATTGCAATTTGTGTATAATTCATGTAAATCCATTCAAATTTTATTAATTGTAAAGTCATATTAACTTATCTAAATTTCTTGAAAATTCGCTCAATTTTTATTGATTTCTTTTGATTTTTTACTAATTGTAAATAATGAAATTTTTTTTTATAAATTCACTAAAACTTTATTGATGTTAATCAAACGTTTAATCAAAATAATAACGCTTCTTTTATGACAATTTGATAATATTATATTTATTTTTATAAATTTCATAGATTTTTTTACAAACATTGCAATTTATGTATAATTCATGTAAATCTATTCAAATTCTATTAATTGTAAAGTCATATTAAGTTATCTAAACTACTTGAGAATTCGCTCAATTTTTATTGATTCTTTACTAATTGTAAGTAATGAATTTTTTTTATAAATTCACTGAAATTTCATCAAAATTGTAACGCTTCTTTTATGACAATTGAACAATATAAATTTCATTGATTTTTTTGTATACTGTTTAAAAACATTGCAATTTGTGTATAATTCATGTAAATCCATTCAAATTTTATTAATTGTAAAGTCATATTAACTTATCTAAATTTCTTGAAAATTCGCTCAATTTTTATTGATTTCTTTAGATTTTTTACTAATTGTAAATAATGAAATTTTTTTAATAAGTTATCTAAACTACTTGAGAATTCGCTCCATTTTTATTGATTCTTTACTAATTGTAAGTAATTGAAATTTTTTATAAATTCATTGAAATTTCATCAAAATAGTAACGCTTCTTTTATGACAATTTGATAATATTATATTTATTTTTATAAATTTCATAGATTTTTTTAAAAACATTGCAATTTACGTATAATACATGTAAATCTATTCAAATTCTATTAATTGTAAAGTCATATTAAGTTATCTAAACTACTTGAGAATTCGTTCAATTTTTATTGATTCTTTACTAATTATAAGTAATGAAATTTTTTTATAAATTCACTGAAATTTCATCAAAATAGTAACGCTTCTTTTATGACAAAATGACTTATTTAAATTATTGTAAATAACAAAGTAAATTATTGTTTGATTTGTTTATTGTTACATTTGTATTTACAAATTTCCCAACTTTTCATCGCCCCCTTCGATAAAGTCGATATATGCCAACTTTGATTTGCAATCCGCAAACATTTATTTTGCAACAAGAAGAAGGGTAAAGAAGAACGCATAATTCTCAAAAAAAAAACATTACTTTTTGACGCGTCAAAAACTGTGGGAACGATCGTAAATCAAAAAACTTGTTCTTTTCCGTCGCATTTAACATTCACAACTTTGCCTATTTCAAAAATCCCGCCTCTCTCACCGCCGCCTCCGATACGTGTTGCTAATTCCGTGTTACGCGACCGGCTCATGTTTTTATTAGTTTCCAAACTACATTACCCGACTTCCAAACAGATTACACCTTCCGCGTGCAAATAAATTAGCTCCACTATTTTCGCATGCATCACATCATTATTATTTTGCTTTATTGTCAAAACTACTTTAATTGTGATTTTGTTGCAGTTGTGAAATAAAATGGAAAGTGAGGAAGAGGACGGAGAAAGAGTGGTTCCCTCCTCGGACGCTGCAGCACGATCGTGTCATTAGCCGAAGAAGTAAATCCTAGGATGCGATCAGGGGGTGCGGAAGCATTCGGCGTCCTCGCCGTGGTTCTGGGCTTCTGCGCCCAAATGTTCCTCACCGACTGCCCGAGTCTCTGCGAGTGCAAATGGAAGAGCGGCAAAGAATCCGTCGTCTGCTTGAAGGCTAACCTCTCTGTGGTTCCGTTACACTTGGACGCGGGCACGCAAATCCTCGATCTTACCTCCAACAACTTGGCGACAGTCCGACACGACGAGTTCAGCGAGGCGGGACTCCTCAACCTGCAGAAGATCTTCATATCGAAATGCCGTCTACGAAGCATAGATCGCTACGCCTTCAGACATTTAATCAATCTGGTCGAGTTAGATCTGAGCTACAACGCGTTGAACTCCATACCCTCGCACACCTTCGACTCCATCCCCGAGCTTAGAGAGTTAAAATTGAACGGAAACCCTATCCAGAGGATCCCCAACGAAGCGTTCATCCATGTACCGCAGCTGGTGAGGTTGGAAATCTCGGATTGCAAGATAGCTTCAGTGGAAGACGACGCGTTCCACGGATTGGATCGTTCGCTGGAATGGTTGAAATTGGATAAGAATAAGTTGTCGGATGTGAGTCCGACTTCGCTGACCGTCCTGCAGAATCTGCACGGGTTGGAGGTAGCGGGAAACCCTTGGAATTGTTCCTGCGGTCTGAGACCGCTCCGCGAGTGGATGCTCCGGAAAAACGTTCCTTTCGGCGTTCCACCGGTCTGCAACCATCCTAAACGGTTGCAGGGAAAACCGTGGGACAAACTCGAACTGGACGAGTTCGCCTGCGTACCAGAGATCTTCGCCTACGACTCGACGGCTCACGGAATCGAAGGCAAAAATGTAACTATGACGTGCAGAATCACCGGAATCCCGGAACCGAACGTTCGATGGTTGCTCAAGAACAAAGTCATTGCTAATCTCTCGGGAACGCCTTATTCCAACGGGAAGAAACTGTACGTTGTCCATCTGCAAAACTCCTCCAGTGACCTAACTATTTTAACTGCGGATCTGCAGGATGCGGGTATTTACGTTTGCGCCGCGGAAAATAAGGCGGGACGTGTTGAGGCGAGCGTCACTTTGGCCGTGTCGAGGAAACCAGCCGATGGGCCTCTGAGCAATAAGATTCTCTTTGCCAGCGTCGTTGCTGGTATCCTGTTCGTGCTGGCGACTTGCCTAATCTCGCTGTGCATTTTGACGATCAGGAAGAAGCATTTGAATAGATGGCCTAACAGGGCGTGCAGAAGCGAGGACGATTACGAGAAAATCGAGATGAACAGGAAGGTGTCGGAGAACGCGAACGGAAGACCCGGTGAGGGTCTTGCGGTTGTACGCAAGAACGGTGATTACAGGGTCGTCCCGGGAGCGGATACCGATCAGGAGTTGGAGGATGAGGAGGAAGTGAAGGAGACCAAGTTCGAAGATCTGCATATCCCGAAGCAAAACAGGTACAGGAATCATTTACTATTGGTCACAGTTAAATATCTTTTCTTTTCTCTTCAATATTTGCCAAATATCTTGTCAAATATTTCTAGTATCACAAAAAAGTATTTTCTTTACATTTTCAATTTATATAATTTCCTACAAATTTCTTCCAAGTTTCTATCATTTCCACTAAATATCTATCAATTCCATTATTTTTTTAACATTTCCTTTAATTTTTTTTCATTTTCTTTAATTTTTAATGATTTCCTTTACATTTCCATTATTTCTTCTAAATTTCTATAATTTCCTCAAAATTTCTTTAATTTACTATAATTTCCTACAAATTTCTATCATTTATTCCAAGTTTTTATTATTTCCACTAAATATCTATGAATTCCTTTAATTTTTTAACATTTCCTTTAAATTTTCTTCATTTTCTTTAATTTTCTATGATTTTCTTTACATTTCCATTATTTTTTGTAAATTTCTATCAATTCCTTTAATTTTTTAACATTTCCTCTAAATTTTTTTCATTTTCTTTAATTTTCAATGATTTCCTTTACATTTCCATTGTTTCATCCTAATTTCTATAATTTCCTCCAAATTTCTGCAAGTTACTATAATTTCCTACACATTTCTATCATTTATTCCAATTTTCTATTATTTCCATTAAATATCTATCAATTCCTTTAATTATTTAACATTTCCTCTATTTTTTTTCATTTTCTTTAATTTTCAATGATTTCCTTCAAATTTCCATTATTTCTTCTAAATTTCCATTATTTCTTCTAAATTTCCATTATTTCTTCTAAATTTCCATTATTTCTTCTAAATTTCTATCAACTCCTTTAATTTTTTAAAATTTCTTCTAAATTTCTTGAATTTTCAATGATTTCCTTTAAATTTCCATTATTTCTTCTAAATTTCTATCATTTCCTCCAAATTAAAGTATTGTCCAAATTTCTATAATTTCCTCCAAATTTCTTCAAGTTTCTATAATTTCCTACAAATTTCTGTCATTTCTTCCAAGTTTTTATCATTTCCACTAAATATCTATCAATTCCTTTAATTCTTAACATTTCCTCTAATTTTTTTAAAATATTCTTTAATTTTCAATGATTTCCTTTAAATTTCCATTATTTCTTTTAAATTTCTATCATTTACTCCAAATTTCTATAGTATTGTCCAAATTTCTTCAAGTTTCTATAATTTCCTACAAATCTCTATCATTTGTTCCAAGTTTCTATCATTTCCACTAAATATCTATTAATTCCTTTAATTGTTTAACATTTCCTCTAATTTCTTTCATTTTGTTTAATTTTCAATGATTTCCTTTAAATTTCTATTATTTCTTCTAAATTTCTATCATTTCTTCCAAATTTCTATCATTTCCACTAAATATCTATCAATTCCGTTAATTTTCAATAATTTCCTTTAAATTTCCATTATTTCTTCTAAATTTCTATCATTCTTCAAAATTTCCTCCAAATATCTACTATTTCCTATACATTTTCATCATTTTTTTCCAAATTTCAATCATTTCTTCTGAACATTACATCCAATTATAATTAGTTTACGTATGTTCCATGTCATAATACTTCAGATTAACTTTCTTTCTAGAGAAGATTCGTTGAGGAGTCCCAGTTCGACGTGTGGTACATATAATTACGAACAACCCTCAACATCTTCAGGATGTCAGCAGCAGCAACAACAGAGGAGGTTGAAAGACACGGCCACGTTCTCCACCGATCTCGCCAGTCTTCTGGAAGGCGACGAGAAGAAGTTCCCCGACCTAATAGAGAACTCCCCGAACAAATCCAACAACAACTTCTGCCCGACGAAAGCGAACAGCGAAGGCGGCAGCGTCTCCGACATAAACGAGCTCTTCTGCACTCTCCCTAGGAAGCGAACGCTGGTGCACAACTCCCGCTACTTGAGCACGGACAGCCAAACTCCACTTCTACCGGAAAGCCGGTACGGAAGCAGCGGAGGCGAGAGCATCTCCAGCCGTCGCTTATCCTCAGACAAAGGCGGACCGAATCTGAACAAGAACCGGATGAACCAACAGAGATCCAACAGTTTCCTCAATCTTCCCCAAATGAACAGCAGCACACCGCTCCTCGACATACAATCACTAGAGAATCGCGTCACTTACACCCCGAATCCGGGCATCCCGAACAGCAACATGAACGCCTACGATTACCACGCCGCTCAGCTGGAGCGTTTCCTCGAGGAGTACCGCACCCTGCAGAAGGAGTTGACACGCATGAAGGAATCCTGCGACAACATGCGACAAGACAAGTACCTCGACAACGCCTCACCGCAAACACCGAAAGACGAAGAACCGAGAAAGACTTCACCCAATTCGAACACCCTCACCGTCGGCAACTTCGAGAGCGATCTTACACGATACCTGCTGAAATCGTCGCCGAAGGCCATCAACAATTCGACCCTCTTCAATAGCTAATTCTCGCGTGTACATAAAACATACATTTTAAATACGTAATTGAAAATTAAAAGAAAAAAAATGAAATAAAACTATTAAAAAAAAAAACGAAAAAAAAACACATACATATATTATATATATATAAAAAAAAAACTCTATTTGTTAATACAAAAAAAAAAATATAAATAAATAAAATAAATTATAAATAAACTTTGTTAAATGTTCATAGTCTCGTATAGATCGTGGAAATGTGATGGAAATCGCGAAACCGATGGAAACATCAAGAGAAAGAAGGAAATGATGAAAAAAAGAATAAACTATATTTGTGATATTAATGAGTAGATGATTAATTATTTAATCGATTTTTATGATATTTAAAATGAAACAAAAAAATGATGATGATGAAAAATATGGAAATAATAAAACGAATCCACGAAGAACAATTTGTATATCTGTCTACCAAAACTATGATGATTATGATGATGATGATGAGAGAAGATGTGTAATAAAGGATGAAAGCAAAAAAAAAACGATTAATAAAATCTCAATATTAAGATTTTTTGAAAAAAAAAAACTGTTTATTTTCTTTACTTTACAATTCAATTTTTATGATTGAAGGTAAGTCCAATTTTTAATTAATAAATTTAAAAAAAAACTTAAAAGTAATTATTTTTAATTAATTAACAAATTTGTTATTGTACAGGTTTACATTCAAATTGATTTTACGTTAATTTTCAAAGTTGTTTTTACTAATATCAAGAATCCAATTATAGAATTTACAGTTTTTTCACAGAAATTACGTTTCCAAATTCATAATTAATTAAATTTAACTGAAATACGCATATAATAAATGAAAGGTAAGTGATTTCTTTAGATTTTATAATCATATTCGAATCTAAATCGCAATTAATCCAATCATAATACAAAAATTACATGTAATAAAACGATTTTACTAATTTTTTATTTTGTTCTTAAACAATTTATTAATTTCAATAAAATTGATATTTTTTTTCAATTTTCTCTGCATTTTTTTGTAAGAAATAAATTATTGATGATTAATTATAAAAAATAAAGTAAAATGTATAAAATATCACAAAAAATCAACCAATTTTTGTTACTGTTAATAAAAAATAGTATAATTTTATTATTAAATGAGATTAATTTAATTGAAAATGTTGTAATTATCGAAATGGAAAGTCAGAATTGTAAAGGTTTTTTTTTCTTATTTTAGAAATAATTTTGTGTAATCGAAAATCGAATGATCGTTTGGCACGACAGTGGCCGTAATTAGTTTCAGAGTTCTCTCTTTCCTCGATTCCAGGATATATCCTCCTCGTTCCGTTATAATGAAAGTGATCTTAATTTCTGGCGGAAAGTGAGCAAAATTAATTGCGTCCTCTCGAAACGCTCTGGCTTTTAATTAATTTTGTTTTCCTCGTCGCAATTACTCTTCACGAAACATACACACACAAATGAACAAAGAAATATTTCCTAGTTTTTTCATGGATTTATAAGTTTAGAGAGTCATGGATGGATATATTGTGTATCTAGGTACAATTATTAGTAAACTTTTGATTAAAGATACATAAAATATAATAATTTTATGTTTTTTTCACAGAAATTACGTTTCCGAAAAAAATTTTAACTGAAATGCGCATATAATGAAAGGAAAGTGATTTCTTTAGATTTTATAATTATAATCGAATCTAAATCGCAATTAATCCAATCATAATACAAAAATTACATTTAACTAGAGAAATACAGGATATTTACAAAATGTGAATATTTTTATAAAGAAATGACTAATTTAGGACAAAAAGGACAAGAAAATGGAATGTAAAAAAAACATTGAAAATGTTTGTAAATACGTAAATAAATTAATAAAAAATTATATAAAAGTAAGTATATAGTAATAAATAATGTACATTAGCTGTCTGGAAGTAATAAATTAAAAATAAGTTGTAATTTTTCTTTGTAAGAAAAAGTTGCAATTTGATATTTTAAAACAGGACAAAAAAAAATTGTCCACCTTGAAAATTTATTGTTTTACGTTGCTATTAATCATTAAATACATAAAATTTTCTTTTTCGAACAGTTTGAGACTGTTTCTGCAACATAAAGTATGCTAATTTTCGTGAAAATATTGAAAATGTTTGTAAATACGTAAATAAATTAATAAAAAAAACTATATAAAAGTAAGTATATAGTAATAAATAATGTAAATTAACTGTCTGGAAGTAATAAATTAAAAATAAATTGTAATTTTTATTTGTAAGAAAAAATTACAATTTGATATTTTAAAAGTGGACAAAAAAAATTATTTTTTGTCCACCTTGAAAATTTATTGTTTTACGTTGCTATGAATCATTAAATACATAAAATTTTCTTTTTCGAACAGTTTGAGACTGTTTCTGCAGTTGGTTATGCATAAAGTATGCTAATTTTCGTGAAAATATTGAAAATATGTCATGGTTATTGATATTAAATTTCCAAGTAGGAAGCGAAAGAAATGGTTTATCTTATATTCAGCGTGTACGTACGTATGTATATATATTGTACAGTGTGTGTGTATATATCATTTCATGAGATCTTGAGCGAGGAGAGAAGGAAACGACTCTTAGCGCTAATGTCTCCCATCGGGGCCGTTTCATATCCTTGGCAATGTAATGTCCTGTTTTGGTATATTTTGACCCGGCCGCAAATGGAAATAGATTGCACACGAATTTATTTCAGCCCGAAACATTTCTCTCTCTCCCCAACCCTCACTTTTTATATATATATAGATATAAAGCTACATCTATATAGAATATAGAAACGAAGAGAAAACGAGAGAAAAAGTAACGTTTTCCGCCTCCAGTTACAAAAAAAAACACTTAATGGTAATTCAATTAAAAAATTCATTGCGCATCTTCTAACTCTCATTTATTACCAACCTTTCCAGTACAAAACAATGAAATACATTTAATTAATGTCCATTTAATCAAGGTAACAAAAAAAACGTAATTACATTTCCAAAATTAAACGTTTTTTTTTGTTAATTTAATAAATTGTTAAAGCGAAATCATCTTCAAAGTTTATACAGTTGAGCAAGTTACATAAACTTCGTCTGAAACCATTGTTAAATTAGTTTGCTTTCAGGAACTAGTTATCTTTGCAGGATGGAGACTGAAGATTTTTGATGGTGCAACAATTCAACTGCAATCATGTTAAAGTTGCAAATAAGACGGTTTAGTTTCATGCTGTAAAACTTATTCGAATATAATACGCACTCACATGATTCATAGTGAAAGTTTCATGCTTGAAAATAATGCATAATTATCTAATTACTCTTCAATCATTTGATTAATCTAATATTTCTTATAATTTAATACGTAAAAACTCAAATGATTATGAATTTTCGTTGTATTTCTTTGTACTAATTTGTAGGTAATAATTGAAATATCGTGCGTTGAGACAGTAAAAAAAAATTGAACAAAGGATAAAAAAAATATGTATGTAAGACACACGAATAACGTTTTATTATTAATACAAAGTTAATCAGAAGTTATTACGTTACATTTTTTTTTCTTTTGCTGTTTGTTGTTCGTTCTTTGTGCGATTATTTATATGGGAGAGCCGAAGTTATTAAATGTGATTAAATGAGACGTAAAGAAATGCGATAGGCGAAACGTATTAATTTCGACGTGAAAACAACAAATGAATATAGAAAACAAAAAAGAAGCGTATAAATGGATTAAGGCAATTATCTTGTTTTGCATGTTTTAAGGGTAGAAAAAATAAGTTATTTTTAGTTAATAACATGAATATGAATACATTAAAATTACTGTAATATTTGCTGAATGTTTGGGGAATCTAGTAAGTATCGATATATTACTGTGGTTTTAGCCGTTTCAAAGTTTCAAAGTAATTCGTGTTGAAAGTTTAAAAAATGCTCGAAAAAGCAGTGTTTTTACATTTCATTGATTTTCTCGAAAACTATAATACATAGAATGAATACATTAAAATTACTGTAATATTTGCTGAATGTTTGGGGAATCTAGTAAGTATCGATATATTACTGTGGTTTTAGCCGTTTAGCTGTAATTCGTGTTCAAAGTTTAAAAATTTCTGAAAAAGCAGTGTTTTTACATTTCATTGATTTTCTCGAAAACTATAATAGATAGAATGAATCCAAAAGATGCTTATGAAAGCTGAATGTTTGGGGAATCTAGCAAGTATGATATATTACTGTGGTTTTATCCGTTTGGCTGTAATTCGCGTTCAAATTT